ATTTATTTCAAGTCATTTACTCTTGTGTTTCATTCAAACCAAAGCATTGTTTTTGACATCAGTTTTAATTTGACATCAAATTGAAGACAATATTTAAATATGTTATACAAAACTTTTAATCTTATAATTTAAGTTTTTAATTTTATAATTATGTAAATTTAATAACGAATTTGATGTTTAAGAATTTGATAGGTTTTGAAATAATAATTATATTTAAAATCGCCTCCAATTTTCGCATAAAAGTAAAAATTATAAGTTTATAAAAACATAAAATATAATTCGCTTTTTATTTTATAAATATATCACAATTTTACGTGACTTATGGTCTTATAATTCATTTTAATAAACAAAACTATTATAAAATGTTTGAGAATTAAAGCACTAATTATGGAAAAGTTTGGATTTACCGTAATATCCCATAGACAGGACGCACCCCATATATAACACGCAGTAAGAAATTTAACAGTAATTGTGAATTAAAAAATCGTTTTTAGATAACGCGTGAAATCGTTGAAATCGCCGAAAAAAAATCAAAAGGCCGATAGGTTATAATCCTATATATTCAAGTAAACTATAATGTTTTAACAATACTTTTTGTGTGTTATTTATTTTCAAACCGCATATAACTCGCACCCCTTAAATAGCGCGCACCACTCATTTTGGCAAGAATTTAACTTTTTTCATTAAATAGCGCGCGCGTTGTCTCTGGAATATTACGGTATTTATATCGAAAAATGTATTTATTCAAACAACATTACCTAACTGTCAAAATACTCAATTAATACCAATAGTTAGTTGACTTGAATATTATAACCAAGTTTTTAAAATCTCAATTTAAATATGTGAAAATGTCACAAATTAGGTGGTATTGCCCGGCTAAGATATTTGTAATAATCTGTTTTGTGTTTGTAATATACATAAATCTTAAGCAAGTTGTTGAACATAATATGGACAGTGAAGGGGTTAGGGTTGTGGCGGCGCCGATCGCCAGTGCCATCGCAGCCAAACAGATGCCCATCATATATATAATAACGCCGACGTATTCGCGGCCGACACAGATCCCAGAGATGACACGTTTGGCGCAAACACTAATGCATGTGAAGAATATACTATGGATTGTTGTCGAGGACTCGACCACCAAATCCGTAGCACTGATGGAACTGTTGGGCCGGTCGGACATACCATACGTTCATCTATTGGCGCCCAAACCCAAAGAGCACCGCAATGTGTTGAAAGACGGTCGCGGAGTGTCTAATAGACTTCGGGCGTTGGACTGGATTCGGGAGAATTGTCGGTCAGTCGCCGACCACCAGACAGCAGGTGTCATATACTTCGCCGACGACGACAACACGTACGACATCCGACTCTTCGATGAGATCCGGCCGACCAAAGGTGTGTCTGTATTCCCCGTCGGCCTAATAGAGGGCACCGGTCTGTCGGCCCCTATACTAAACAACGTGACGGCCAAAGTGATTGGATGGCACGACCCGTGTCCGGGCCGTAAGTTTGGCGTCGATATGGCCGGCTTTGCCATCAGTTTGGATCTGTTTCTTAGCCGACCCAACGTCTCGATGGTATATAAGGCCGGTTTCGTTGAGGACTCGTTCCTACGCTCGCT